TTTGTAAGTCAAGAGTTCCCAGGACAGGTCCTGCTGAAGGAAAGGCCACGGTGTATGAGCATGCTATTAAAATCGAGTGCTTTCCAAGGCAGAGCAGGATGGATAACACAACCCTATGTTGTTCTCCAGATTTATATACTAATGGGCCGGGGGATTCATTCATACATTAATTACTTCAACAAATGTTTTTGTCTGTCTAAACGCTGTGTAACTCTTAAAATAATATAGAACCATCCATAGCATAAAACCACCGAATAATTCATTTCTCAGGAAGACAGAATATGTTTGTTTAAAAAAAAAAAAAAGGACTTGCAATGCAACATTTAGGAGGTATGAGAGTCCATAGCTTTCTATGATAGCTTTTAGCTTAGCAGAGCTTGTCCAAAGAAGTACTATCAGAGGCTCCAATGCCCTCAGAGTCCCACAAATCTAGGGGTCATCATGGGTAGCACTCCCTGGATGATACTAGCAGCCCCTGAGTCTTCTCAAAGCTTTACTTCACAAAGCTTCACTTCAATAGGTTTGGGATCAGATTGACTTACTAATATGATAGAGCATCAGCACAAGGCTCTACACACTGACTCATCGTGATGCCATGAGCAACACGTATCTCTCTCTCTGAATATGCTTAGTCCCTGAAGGCCACTTATGCAACTATCATACCACTGCCTTCCTTTGTCTGAGAGAAGGCTTTTGCCTACAGTGGCATTTCCTAAGATGATGTCCGTGGCCCTATCCCTGGGGGCTGTCAACCAAAGCCCAGCTTGTTTCATCTAGAAACTGAAGTTTCTGGTTTCAAGGCCTTCATATCTCATGCATATCGGTGAGAAAATGGAAACCGTAGTTACCTACATCATTTGCTTCTATGAATCACAAGTAAAGATGGCCGGCCAGGTTATGCTGCAGTACCAGATGACCTCACAATCTCACTGACTTAAAATAACAGAGGTTTATCGTTTCTACTACATATCCTTCTTGGATTGGGTAAGATCCCAGCTAATGGAGTAGCCTCTCTCTGGAACGTCCCTCCAGCAGGCAACATCTGCAGGACAGGAAAGGAGAACTGTCTTCCTTCTGCACAGGAAGACACTGGAGTTTGCTTGGGTGGCTTCTGCACACTTCTCTGGGAGAGAACACCTGTGTGGAGAAGGGGCATCTCATGAGATGGGGCGGTAGCTCAGCTGGCTGGTCGCTGGATCATCTGCATGTCATCGCTGCATCTGTCTCTGATTAGTCATTCGGTGGTGCAACCACGGTCTAGTCATTTCCTCCCCTCGTCCAGGGTTTCCACATTTGACAAATGCACAAAATATTCTAGAATTTCACTTTAGTTCACTAAGGAGCCTGAGCCTTGGAGCTGGGAAGCCCCGATGATAAGCCCACTTGATAGCTGGCTATAAGCCCGGGGTTCCCTTAGCCTGGGCTTTCTTATCTGTCAACTAGAACCTTAGTGCTGGTCACCACTCAGAGACAGAACAAAGAAACAGGTGAGGTAGCTCACACTACACAGAGATAGAACAAAGCAACAGGTGAGGTAGCTCACTAATTCTGGTCTGGCTTCTACCCAGTGTTCCATAGATAGGTAATTGTGATGTCTATAATTACATGTATATGTCTATGGATTCCAGCTCGGTGTACAAAACATCCCTGTTCCTGGTTAGTTTACTTCCCAAACACCCTTCATGCCTCTCCAACTATGCCATTCTAGTCCTTGCTTTGAACTTCTCTCCAAATCAGTTTTGGGGAAATCTCTCACTCAACTCCTCCCCTAGTCTGAATTATTAAGCGCAGTGTGAATCTACAGGCACATGAAAACTTTTAACTGGTAGAGGGATCCTCATATGCTAGTTCCCAGCCCTGTCAAGCTTCACCCCAGTCCCCCGTGCACCACTCTGGCTGCTCTATTGATGGCAGAGGAGCCCCCCTAAGGCATTATACGTGTACCTCTGCCCTGTTCCTGGATAAACTCCATTGAATTTTCAGGGGCTCTAATGATCAGCCTGCATCTCTGCAGCCACCTCAGGTTTTAAGAACCAACAATATGTGCCTCAGTCATTGTTTGCCTTCATGCTGCACAAATCCCAGTTCTAATGACCTCACCAGTGATGAGGTTGTGATAGGATTCTGTGGGTGATGCAAAAATGAACTTTTAAATATGCCGTGAATTGTTCACTCCCAAACCACCCTCTAATCTCTTTCTGCTACCACCTTGACTGGTGTCTTTTTTTTTTTTTACCAGTATATAGAAAGAATGCTGCCCAAAATGGTAATGTGAGCTTATTCTTCAAGTAAGTAGTATATGTCAGTGGCAGCATCATGAGGTGAGAGTAAGTGGGTATGATAAGAACCATGAGGCATGGACAAGAGGCAAGATGGTCACCTGAGTATTGGGTGAATTGCCAGAGCTAATGTGCTCGCTCCTTCCTTCCTTGCTTTCTTCCTTTCTTTCTTCCTTCCTTCCTTCCTTCCTTCCTTCTCTCCCTCCCTCCCTCCCTTCTTTCCTTCCTTCCCTCCCTCCCTCCCTCTTTCCCTCCCTCCTTCCTTCCTTCTTTTCTTCACCCCTTTTGTTTTTCCTTTTTTTCTGCTATGTGTATGTTGTAGTATGTGTGGTGAATGTACTTATTAGTGTAGATAAGTATGTTCAGGAGCACACAGATGTCCGTACATGTACATGTGTAGGGTGGTATGTGTGTGTGTGTGTGTGTGTGTGTGTGTGTGTGTGTGTGTGTGTGT